CAGCCCCAGGACAGCTCTTCAAGACTCTGGTCTGGGGCGAGCTGGGCATAGAAACCTGTCTGGATCTATCCGTGGTGGGGTCACCGGACTGTACGGGAGCTGAGAGCGAGGGGCTGGGGGGAGAATGGGAAGTAAAGCTGGTCAGGGGAACATCACAAGGGGCTGGGGGGACACCAGCTGGTACCCCATCACCACTGGGCAGGGGCTTTCTGTTGTAGCTGGTGCCCCCTAGAGGGGAAAGGCCCCTGATGCCATTTTCCACCCTCCTGCGCCAACCAGTCCCCAGCCCTGGGCCAGATCGCAGCGGGCAATGTGTACAGTGGTATATATATATTTTACAGGCCGGCAGATGAGTCCGAGATCTTGACCTGAGATCCCCAGGCTACCCTGTCCCCTCTATATAACTGTTCATGAGTCAGACCCTCATGTGCCCCTCCCCCTCCTCACCTACACTCCTCTCCTTACGGCACCATGTATTGCTCTTGGCATTTACAGCAAGATCACTGTCAAGATGGGAGCCCATAACATTAGGGAACAGGAACGGAGCCAAGAGAAAATCCCCGTCCAACACCAGATTCCCCACCAGCAATACAAAAGGAAGACCCTTAACATTGACATCATGCTGCTGCAGGTATCATCCACTTCCCATCACCCCACACCCTGTGACCTCATACTGCTGCAGCTGCCTCCCCCATCCCATCACCCCACCCCCAGTGACCTCACACTACTGGAGGTACCACCACTATCCCAACACCCTGCTGCCAGTGACATCACAATGCTGCTCCCCACCCCATCACCCCGCCCCCAGTGACTTCACATGAAAGCACTGGACACATCTCCATTTTCCTCTGTTGGGACTTGTTGGTCCCTTTCAGCTCCACTTCCTGTGCTGATCTGGTTCCCTGTTTTCCCTCACGTCCATGGCAGCTGTCACACAGCGCAATGGTGAGTAACTGGGTGCGGCTCATCCCCCTGCCAAATGCCAAGTCCAGGGTGAGGCCGGGATCCATGTGCAGCCTGGCTGGATGGGGTCAGACTACATAACCCTTCCCAAACTCAAACTCCGCCCAGCACAATGCTACCCAACTCTATCAAACTTAACCCCTGTCCTGCACAACTGTCCCCAACTCCAGCTCTACCTAACACTACTCAATCTCTACAAAATTTAACCATTGTCCTATCCAGCTCTACCCAACATACCCCCTGTCCTACAAAACTCATCTCTACCCAAACTCAGCTCTACCCACATCCTCCCAATTCAAACCCTACCCAATTCTACCCAACCCAAACCCAACTCTACCAAACTCAGCCTAACCCTACTAGTGCTACCCAAACAAAAAAGGAAACACTTCAACACAACAAACATTTTTGCTGAAGTTTCCAAAGTTGAAAAATGGCCATTTTTTTACACAAAACATATTTCTTGCCATATATTTAAACCTCCCCTACTCTGCTGTAATCAGATCTGCAGATGAAAAGTCATGCTAGAGATGTACAAGATGTAACTGTGATTATTTTTAATCCCAGGGTGATTCTGGTGGCCCCTTGGTATGTGAGGGTGTGGCCCAGGGCATCGCTTCCTATGTTGACGTGCATTTGTGGGAGGCAAGCGTGTTTACAAGACTCTACACCTTCATCCCCTGGATCCAGAACATTCTGCAGAAACAGCATTAGAGAAGATACCCATTTTCCTGGCTCTTTCCCTGGCTAGACCATCCAGGGGCTAACAAGGCTTTGCAGTTTATCTTCATTAGTCCTAGAAAAATGCTATGAATTGATTGGTCTCAAAATGGATTGGGGGCGGGGGAAGGAGTTCACACCCAGGCTCCAGCATGTTAGTTACTCCCAGCTCTGGTGTGTGAGTGCTATGGGCAGCCACTCCTCACTTACACTGCAGGGCAACACCAGCAAACTCACAGTCCCAGACTTGCCCCCAGAAATGTGCATCTTGTACTGCCCAGCACCCTCCTCCTTACAAGTTCATTGAAAGTCTGTCATTTCATTAATTGAAAATGATCTGCACAAATCCCTTGAT